CCGCTTCCCGCTTCCCGTGCGTCCCGCGGTTCCGTCCCCTTCCCCGGGCCTGGCCTCGCGCGCGTGCACGGCAGAGCTCGTCCCCGACAAGGTACGTGCGCGTCGCTGGGGACAGAGAAGCCGGGGGCTCCGCTCTGCTCGGCCTCGCGCGTGTGTCTGCATTTCGGCCAAGAAACCCCCCAAAGTCCTCTTTCAAAAACGGACTTTCATGACAGGAACGCACTGTCCTTGCAAAGGCAGCCCCGCGGTCCAACGCTGTGCCCTGCTTTCCTGTAGGCACTGAGCCGCACGTTGTAATTTGGTTGAAACCACACTGGGTACAAACGTGTGTCATTTTTGCCATTTAACACCATGGGCGAGCCTTTTCTCCATACCGTCACATACTCTTTGTAACTGTTTTCCTACCGCTGGACATTTCGGTCGTATAGTCTATACTAATATAAAACGACGAGAACACCCCCACATTTGCATCGAAGTCACAGTCCACCTCTGGCAGTGTTTCCTTCGGTGGGGACCGAGAGGGGGTGCAGGGCCGAGTCTGACAGCCCGGATGCTGGGTAGGTCTGCCCAGCGGAAAGACTGTGCAGTCTACACCGCAGCATTTTTGCCATTTAACACCATGGGCGAGCCTTTTCTCCATACCGTCACATACTCTTTGTAACTGTTTTCCTACCGCTGGCCATTTCGGTCGTATAGTCTATACTAATATAAAACGACGAGAACACCCCCACATTTGCATCGAAGTCACAGTCCACCTCTGGCAGTGTTTCTTTCGGTGGGGACCGAGAGGGGGTGCAGGGCCGAGTCTGACAGCCCGGATGCTGGGTAGGTCTGCCCAGCGGAAAGACTGTGCAGTCTACACCGCAGCTGTGTGGGTCGGGGCAGGCCTCGCTAACATTAGGTTCTGCGAATCATGTCCACTTGCTGCGGGAAAATGCCACCTGTTGTTTTCAAAGCCCATTTAAAGTAAGGTGGTGAGAAATGAGCCCGGCCAGTGTCTGGGGAAGCCGGTCCAGGCCTGGGAAAAGGCCAAAGGCAGGAGCATGGTTGGCCAGTTGGAGGAGGTCAGTGTGTGGTCATCATATGAAGCCTTTTACCATCTAACTGCTGCTGTCTAAAGCCCATACCCTATGGAAAATATACGCATGATTGTTGAAAAATACATATTTGGAGGGGCTGATAGAATCATCTAAGGAAAGTACAGGCTTTGACCCTGCCTTCCTCACTGCAGGATTGAAAATCACCCACATTCCTAAAATGTTTAACCAGTAAAGGAAAAACAGCAAGCCCTTCACCGTGGCACAGCACCCATTTTACCTTGAACCCCTGTTACTCTCACACATGGTTTCTATTTCTAACTCTCTAAAGCTTCCAGCAATTTATTCCTAGACTTTCTTGCTTGTTACAGTTCCATCTGCACCAGTTCCTTTTGCTCATCAAAGTCTGTTTTCTCTGTTTCTGGTGGAGAACTTAGTTGTGTTGGGAAGTCTGACTTGTGAGTTGTTTAAATCCTTGGGGTCAAAAGCAGAAAGACCACACTCTGGCCATGCTTTACCACCCATTTCTCACCTTTCTGACTTCCAGTGGGAAAAAGGAAATGTTCGATTACAGGGCTCAAAGATAATATTCAGCCAAAAGTAAAGTCATGCCTTTCATATGGATATAAAAATGAGCACATGGTAAAGATCTTGTTTTATTCGTTAATGAGGGAAACAGGCAGATGTTATAACTGGTTCAAAAAAGAAGTCGACTTGTAAATCTAGATGGAGTAAAGGAATGCCCAGGAAGGGAGGAGAAGCGGAGAGGATACCCTTGGAATTTGCCGATGACATGCTCAATAGTGATCCCCATGGGTTTTGACTTTTAATTTTGCAGAAGAACGTGCCTGTATGAGGCAGGGTGGGAGGAGCTGCAAGAGTCACTCTGTAAGGCAGTGGCCTCGCGATCATTCACAGGCATGCGACGTCTTGCTTGAATGCTTATGCTGTGTGTTTGTACTGCTGGCCAATGTGGGCACTGCCAAAGAGTGTGCCCGACAGGGTGTCCTTTGTAGGGGCTTGTCCTGGCCATCCCTGGCTCCATGAGGAGTGCCCTGACTTCGGGAGGCTTTGCCAGTGGAGAACACAGACCTGATCTCAGTGTGGTCGAGGTGTGGCCCCAAACATACCTGCTGTGATACAGAAAAGCTTGTCTTGACACACATGTAATGAGGACCTGCCATGCATGTCAGACACAGTCCTGCCGGTGTCCAGGAGGACACTGAAACCTTATCACGCACAGTGAAGGACGCTGTGATGTGCAAAAGAAACGTGTGTTCCAGGAAAAGTATTCATGGTCTTACAGCATACCCCCTAGGCTGCCTGATTCTATCTAGCCCTGTTCATTGTATTTGAGCCATTTGGCAACTCTGTGTAAGTCACAGGTAACTGATCTGATAGGTTTGTATGTCCTGTCTGTTTCCATAGAAAATTAGTGGACTTTCTCCCCTCCTGTGGAAGAATGTTTTGTCTCCATTTGCAGTTCATCTCAACATTTCTTTACAGCACAGAAATTTGTGTTCTTGTGACTTTCCTTCCAGCCAGTTAGACCGTCTGCCTATCATCCAAGTAAAATAAAGTCCTTAGTATTTGTTCATTTGTATATCTGTTTAAGAGTAATGGTTTTACTTTTTTCTGAAAGTTATCTTTTAGTAAATGTGTCATTTTTGGGAAAGAAAGAACAAAAATCCTGAAAGGTATATACAGAAAATGTACTTATAGTACAGTCGGTCGAGGGTCATGGGTATGTTCCTTGAGACTTCCAGGGCCCACAGGCGGGCCAGGCAGCAGGACCTTTGATCACCCTGCCCACCGTGGACTTGGCCCCTGACGCTCAGGCTTGGCCTGACTGCTGTGCCCACGTGAAGGGTCTGGGCAGGAGTCCAGCCTTCGACATGCGGCACACCCAGGCCTCTCCTACCCGCCATTCCTTTCTGCAGGAGAATAACCTTGCAGGATCAGTCCAGAGGGCTGCTTTCTGGTCTGTAAACATTCCTTTTGGAAAGTGGATATCAGCTGAAGATAAAGTAAAAAGATTTTGATTAGAGGCTGCTTTGGAATAGCCAGGATTTTCTGTGGTCCCTGGGTCCTTCTAGGACAGCCCAGGTAAGAAATCAGCCCAAAGAATCAGTTCTCAAAAGATAGTGCTGTGGGGCCTAAAATATATTGATATCGGTGCTAGGTTGTTGTGATGTCTCTTACTAATAATAGTTTTGTGATGTAGCTTATGGAAACAAAACCAAGAAAACTACAGTCAAATTGCTCTTAATTAAATAACTAGTTATTAATTTCTTTCTCTTTAAAATCTAATTACTTTTGGATCCCTACACCAGCTAGCCGCCAACAAAACAAAACAAAACAACAAAAAAACTAATTGCTTTATTTTTAATTACAAAACACAAACATTCAGTAAAGTGCAGGAAATTATTATTATTAATAGCCATTTATTTTCACATCACCTAGATTTAAAAGATAATGCTGTCTTGTCTTATGGATCTCAAATCAAAACTTTTTAAGGAAATAAAATTAAGAAATAAAATTAAAGCCAGCAACCTCCACACACACCTTCCGCCCCCAGTGACCACAGCCCTAATGTGGTTTATTTCATTTCCATGCATGATACTTTTACTCCAGTATATTTATTGATAAAATATGTATCATTTTGGTTGCTATTATTTAGTAGCATCAAAATAGCAGTTGTCTTTTACATAGCATTGTGTTTTTGAGACTTATATTGATAAATATAGATATAGTTTGTTCATTGAACTGCTATGTAATGTTCTTTTTATAAATGTATTTGTTTCCTGGTAACAAATTACCACAGAGTGGGTGGTTTGAAGCAACAGAAATTTATTCTGTCACAGTTCTGGAGGCCAGAAGTTCGAAATCAGGGTGTCAGCAGGCCCATCGGGATCCAAACCCGGGAGTGCCACCACACTCCCAAGCGGCGCACTATAGCAGTGCGCCACCGGGCCGGCCCAGCTTTCCCCTTCTTGAAACCCTTTCTTCACTTGGCTCCAGGACACCACCTTCAGGGCTTTCCTCCCCTGTCACTGGCTGTTCTCTCTCTCTCTCTCTCTTTTTTTTTTTGTGGCTGGCCGGTATAGGGATGGGACCCTGGACCTTGGTGTTAGCAGCACCATGCTCTAACCAGCTGAACTAACCAGCCAGCCTGTTCCTTCTCAGACTCATTCACTGGTTCCTTCTTACCTCTCTAAAGCCTTAGTGTTGAAAGAACCTAGGGCTCAGTCTTCTGGATTGTTCTCTGCTTTATCTCCTGTCACTCCCTTGAGCGATGTCATTCCATCTCAAGGTGTTAAATGCTGTGTATGGTTGATTCTTGTTATTTGCAGTAGTTATATTCTATAAAGTCTCCACAAACACTGAGTTAGCAAATATTGAATTATTGCTTGTAGGGAAAATACCTACAGGGTTAGATTCCTGTGAGCCTCTCTGGTCACAGCATTATTTTCAACTGACCAACACCTAACCTTGTTTTATGTGTGTTTCTCTTTAGAGATATCTTATTTAATATACAGGGATACTTCAAAAAGTTCATGCAAAAATGGAATTAAAAGATAATATGAATCTTTCCACAAACTTTTAAAGTACTTTCATGAATTATTTTTTCAGATTTTTTGGCAGCTGGCTAGTACAGGGATCAAACCATATATTGTTGATTCATTAACACTGAACTCCCATATAGTGCCAACAGCACTATATGGCACATGCCTGATGGAAGCTTGTCTAACACATGTGCTGTCTCTGTAGGGCACATCGCAGCCTTCTTACACTTGGGAACCCTAGACAGCGTTTCAGCACTGTGCTTGGGAGCCATTTTAAACAGTGAAGTCACCAAGAAAATGCAGAAAAAATATGTAAAGTGTGGCACTAAATAGACCATGCAAAGGACATTTGTTTGTAGTGAGAGTGTGGAAACAAGAAGGTAGAGTGTCTTAGTCAGTTTGGGCTGCTATAACAAATGACCATTGACTGGGTAGCTTAAACACCAGAAATGTATTTCTCACAGTTTTGCAGGCTGGAAAGTGCAAGATCAAGGTGCTGGCAGATCCTGTGTCTGGTGAGGGCCTGTTCTCAGGTTTGCAGATGGCTGTCTTCTTGCTGTGTCCTCACGTGGCAGGAAGAGGGCAAACTAGCTCCCTGGTATCTTCCAATAAGGGCACTAATCCCTTTATGAACTAATTCCCTCCCAAAGACCCTACCTCCAAATACCATCCCATTGGGCTTAGGGTTTCAACATATAATGTTTAAGGGGGACGCAAACATTGAGTCCACTGCACAGAGTGTCACTTTGTTTGACTTCAGCTCGGAATGTGCACGTTGACGGTCAGGTTTCTTGCACGTCTGTGAATGATGGTGAGGTTACAAACAAGTTCAGTGAGTAGACTAGTTCATGAATACAGAATCTGCACACAGTGAGGATCTACTATGGTATTCATCTGTTTTCTGTTGCTTATAATAGATTACCTGAAACTGGGTAATTTATAAAGAAGTAGAATTTATTTCTTACAGCTTTGGAGGCTGGAAAGTCCACAGTCCAGGGGGCGCATCTGGTGAGGGCCTTGTCCTTGGTGGAAACTCTCTACAGTGATGCAGGGTGTCATGTGGCGAGAATGGGTTGAGCAAGAGAGAGCTGACCTGCTCACTTGCCCTCCTTACAAAGCCATCAGAACCACACCCATCCCTCCATGACTGGATCAGTCCGTTGATGAGGGCACAGTCCTCACAACCTAATCACCCCGACTTTCAAATACTATCATTGGATTTCCTACCTTCTTAACACTGTTATAGTGAGGGTCAAGTTTCCAACACATGAACTTTTGGGAGACACATTTGACCCATAGCAACTGTGTATGTTGATCATTCTCAAATTTATATCTTTAGCTTGGTGACCGGGAAACAGGCCCTCATCTTGTTATCCAGCTGTCCGCTCAGCTTTTCTCTTAGATGTCTAATAGAGACCTCAAACTTAATATGTCCCAAACTGACGTTCTCATCTCCTCAAACCTGCTCTTCCCATGTTCTCCTGCTCGTTTAAAAGCACTCTGTCCTCCAGTTGCTCATGCAAAACCCCTTATAGTCATCAGTGTCTCCTCCTTTTGTCTAATGCCCCACAGCTGCGATCTGTCAGCAGAACAGTCTCTGATGGCTCTCTCCTTCTCACCATCACCTCCTGGCATAAGCCGTGTCATCTCTTGCCTGGATGATTGAAGTAGCCATCTAACTGGACTTTCTTTTCTTCCTTTACCACCTGATGATCTCACCTTAAAACAGGACCTTCATCAGGTGATAGATATGCTAACCGTTTGGATTAGATCATTATACAATGCATGCATGTATTGACACAGCAGACTGTACCCCATAAACATGTACAATTAAAAAATTAATTAAAACAGGCAAACAAAACAACAACAAAAACAGCACCTTCCATGATGCTTTTAAATCAAGTCATGTAAGACCACTCCTCTTCCCAGAACCCTCCAATGGCTTCCATCCTTCACTGAGGAAAAGCCAGGTTCTTCCAGTAAGGCTCTGGGGACTGTGTCACACTATCCCTTGCCATTCTCTCCCCTTGCTCTTTCTGTTCCAGCCACCCTGGTCTCTTTGCTGTTCCCCAAACGTGTCAGACGTGCCCCCTGCCCCAGGGCCTGTGCACTTGCTGGTTCTTCTGCTGGGACCGCTCTTCCTCCACATGACTGCAGTGCACCACCTCCTTGGCCCAAATGCTGCCTTTTCAGAGGTGTTCCCCTAATACACCATTTTAAATTGCAACCCCGTCCCTTAGCCCCAACATTCTCTTGTCTCCTTCTCTCCGTTTCTTAGCATTTACTACATCTGACAAGCTCTGCATTTCTCATATTATTTTATGTACAGGTTGAGTATCCCTTATCCGAAATGCTTGGGGCCAGAAGTGTTTCAGATTTTGGATTTTTTAGGATTTTGGAACATTTGGGAATATTTGAGAATAATGAGATATCTTGGGGATTGGACCCAAGTCTGAACATGAAATTTATTTATGTTTCATATACACCTTATACACATAGGCTTTTTTTTTTTTTTTTTTTTACCTTTTTGTCTTTTTCCGTGTCTGGCAACGGATCGCAACCCTCAGTGTCGC